ATTGTGGTATCAAATAACTGATGAGAATGATTCATAATTTAATTTGATGGTCTCTCAATGTCCAAAGTGCACCTTTAGTTTTAGACAACAAATGAATGTGAGTTATAGTATGTGTGAGGATGAAGGCATATGCACGAGTATGCAGGGCATGAAATACGCATCTTGCTTTACAGGGTGTTAAGATTAACTTCAGGTCATGTTGTTGTATTGACAGGGAAGGACTGACATATTGATTGAGAAAATCTTTAGTTCAATGATTGATGGTCTGCATTCTGTGAAGCATTCAGCGAAGGGTTTGCCTTGTAATACACTCACCAAAGGCTATATAACAGAATGAGATAAGTAAATACAAAGAGTTGCACAGGATCACAGATAGCCATTGTGAGATAAAATGGTGGAAGTGTCGGACCTCCAATGGATGCTGCCCTCCTAGAATTTCAATGCTAATCTCAAGAAGTGAAACAGTTGCAAATGAAGTCCCAGGTTTATGTCAGCAGTAGCTCTTTTGCACAGCATCAAAAGCAAATTATTTATTGTCAGTATTTAAACATGTTAGAACTAAAGCTAGGGGTTTGGCAATCTGAATACTGTAACTGCTGACAGCAGGTCAAATAAAATTAAAACTTGCTGCAGTTGGGTAGGCAGATAATTGGTCAATAGTTGTCCTTTTGCCTCAGTACAGGTTCACTTATGTCTTAACATGTGCCACTAAACTGTGAACAGATTACAGCTCAAAATACATTTCATAGATTTGCTCACTTAAAAAGAAATACCTCTCCATGAAGAACAATGTGTTTTATGAGAGCTACTATCAGATTGAGGTCTATTTTGTCATCGTCATGCAGAATTTCCAAGGCTTCAATCGTACTGTCAGAATACCTAGAAGGGAAGAGGAACATTGGATTTCCTTTTAATCAGGCCATCAGTGCTCATGGTTGTTGCCACATATGCATTAAGCACACTTCTGAAATCTATTTACATGAAAGGTTTATATTTCTGATAGATAAGTGACTGATAATTTTGATATTCTTACATCATGCACTGATTAACAGTTTAAATCATTTACTGAAAAACCAAATGTCTCCCTGTAGATGGGGTGGAAAACAGAACAGCATCAACAGGAAGGAAGATAAAGAAATTACAGCTAACTCAATTCTCAGCGCTGTTACCAGAAGTTCCGTAATGGCAAGTGTCATGTGCCCAATGGACCTGTGAAAAGCATCTAAAACTACACAAGTTTCTTGTATAGAATGAGGCCATTCATCTGTCTCCTTGTTAGAATGCTCCATAATAACCCCTGTCATGTTCCCTTCCCACAGGCCTATAACTCATCTTTTTAAAATAAATTTGGCTGTCTTTATCACAACCATTTCTTCTGACAGTGTACCTTGATCCAACCACCTTCCCTCCATGTAAAGAAATTCCTCCTGACCACGCTACTTGTTTAATCAGTGATCATTTCTAACTGATGACTCCCAACCACCCTTACTACATCATACCAAACTCTAAAAACCCTTCATTTTTCTTTATCTCATTCTTCTCTTCTCAAATGGAAAAAGTACCAATGCACAAATTCACTGCAGAGAAATCTAATTTTCCAAGCTAGTCAGTCTCCTGGCGAATCTTCATTCGTCACTCCAAAAAGGGATGAGGCTAAACTACACCAAGTACCTTACAGTCAAAGCAACAACTGAGAGATTGAGCTGATGAATGTGATAGGATTGTATGTCAGCAGCTATTGTGCATCAACAACAGATGTGGGCACCACCAGCCACATCAGATACATTGATAGATCAACACATGGGGAAGAGGAGAGCGAGGGCGAGGGAGAGCGCGCGAGGGCGAGGGAGAGCGCGCGAGGGCGAGGGAGAGCGCGC